ACATCAACACTTTGTTTCTGGCCTGGCCCTACGAGGCCTTGACTCCAGTCCATCTGGGGTCAGTTCAGTTTGTCCAGCGTGGGGCATTCAGCTACCCTGAGACTGAAGGTCCAGGCAGCTCTGCAGAGGCCATTCCAGTTAAGCTCCTCACTAAGCCCAGTTCCCCACTTGTAGGAGGGAAGACGGAAAACAGAAGAAACTTGAAATCTCATCTAGCTTCTGCTACTTCCCTGTCCTCCGTGGCCAGGATTTCCCACCTGTAATTGTCCAGCCGGACCAAAAAAAACCTCTCAACCCTGGGATGTGACGTCTTAACAGCAGAAACAACTAAGTCCAGTGGGCCCTGCCGAGCCAACAGCCATCTCTCCAGGCCCCTGCCCCACTGCACACCCTCCCCTGAGAAAACCCCACGCCCCCCTCTTCTGCTTCTCTCCTCTCTCTTCTCCTACAACTTGCCTGAGTCCAGCCTGTTCCCTCAGACCCCTTCTATCTTCTAACCTCACATGTGGCTGGCAGCTGCCAATTCTGCTACCAGGTAGCCTGGAGGAAGTCTGGGGTTCCTTGCCTTCTGGCTGGATAAGCCTGGCCTGTGGAGCCTACCCTCTTAATCCTTCCCAGGGCTCCTTGAACTTGTTCACACAGCTCAGTTATTCATTCCTTCACTCGCTCCATTTTTCATTAAATCACTCATTCACTCTGGGCCAAGCCCAGGAACATGGCTGGGATTAGACTGGCCTGAGGTGGGGTTAAAACACACAAACAGAGGCAGACTTACACAATGAGGCATGGGGGACATGGGCTCAGGAGGAGGCCCCCAAGTGTGATCAGCCTGCTTGTTTTATTACAGACAGAACAAGTGAAGCTCGGGGAGGCCTGGGGCTGCCCCAGGCCACTGGGTGAAAGAGGGAGGAGGCAGTTGCTTGTGGGGCTCTCCTGGTCAGCTGTCCACAAGCAGAATACCATGTTTGCAAGTGTTGAGTCAGTGACTTTAGGCCTGGGCTGAAACCGCAAGAACCAAAGCAGGGTGATGTCTGTAGGGACCAGGACATGGGTTCAGAAGGAGTTATACAATCAGGGCCGGAAGGGACTTCCCTCTGCAGATCTCAAAACCATTCAGATTATAGCTGTGGACATTGGCACCGAGGACCCTGGAGCTGTCACAGGGACCTGGCAGCAGCACCAAAACCTAACACCACCACGTCCAACCTTATGGTCTTTCACTGCATCCACTGCACAGCAAACTTAGAGGCCTGAAATCAAGGGAAGCCTGTTTTCTATTTTTAATCTTTTTTTAAAAATAATATTTTATTGCGTTTTCGGTGAAGGTTGACACAGCAGTTTAGGTTCCATTCAACAATTTCTACACAAACTGTTCAGAGACATTGGTTACATTCTTTACAATGCCTCAGCATTCTCAATATTTCTGTTTTGGTGGTTCTGTTTCCAATAATCTAGTTTCCCTGCCCCCTTACATTCTCATCTTTGTCTTAAATTGTTGACTGTTTGGTCTCATACAGATGATTTTTTTTTATTATTTTATTATTTTATTTTTTTACTTTTAAGTGAAAGTT